TGGTAGAGTTGCTTCTGAGCTCTGCTGGGGAATTGTTCTCAGCTTCACAGGGAAAGCAGTTGTGTGCCTTCAGTGCTCCCAGACATAGAAGGTAAAGGAGGTACTAGGGATGCAATTGGTGTTTTCAAAGGCAGAGAAAGAGGATCAAGTCCAGAAATTATTATAAAATGATAAGCAGTCTAGAGAGAGAGGACAGTTGTGGCATAATGATGACAGTCATTAGTCTGGGGAGCTTGCTGCTTCTAATTGGCTAGGCTTCTAAGCCTTCCTGAAATTCACTCTCCTTACCTATGAACCAGCTAATAACCATACCAGCCCCCTGAAGTCTATCGGGCACAAGTCACTGAAAGAGCTTAGGCTAGTGCTGAGCACACTGTGAGAAGACCACAAAAGGTCATTGTTGCTTAGGTCATCACCTTCATTATTGAGAATGAGGGAGCTATAGAGAGTATATGCCTTTGGTTCCTCAAAGGATATAGGTCTCTCAAAGATGTGCCTTCCCCCAGGATTCTACAGCCTGTTTTCCTTAATACTCCAACTGCCCCGATCATGCTTTCCTGTTCCCAGTGTCCTTCGGATGCTACAAGAGACCACACACAGACCCATGCTTCCTTTCTGGCCTTCTGACTTTGCAGGTGGTTTCTTCAGACTGCTGCCTCCACATGTGCAGCTGCTCAATCTGCTCCGGTCCTCTCTGCTCTCTCCCCTGCTTCTGTCATGAGGAACCCTATTGGTCCACCTCCACATCTGGATCTGTCTCTCTCTCAGAGGCTTCTTTGCCACTCATAGTCTGTAAGGAGCCTGTGTCTTTTGGGCCTGCACCACAGGGCTCTTCTGGCTCTGCTATCTGAGTCTGGAGAAAACAAACACTCATATAGGCAGCCAGAGGGGACCATGTTCTTGCTTCCTGGTGGCTGGGTAGCCTCTCCAGGCCATGAAGAGTCCATGAGTATTCCATCTTCACACTGTGCCTAATGGTTTCCCTCGACTGTAATGTTCATAGGTATTTGCTGTTGAAGAGTTGGAGAAAATAGAGAGGCAGTCAGAGGAAACTGAACTTCACCAAAGAACTTTTTTTTTCTTTAAGAATTTCTTTCTTTCTTTTTCTTTTATTGGATTTTTTAATTCATAATTCAAATGTTATATCCACTTTCCAGGTCTTCCCTCCAGAAATTCCCTACCCTATCCCCCCCCCCCCCCACTTCCTGGCTCTATGAGGATGCTCCCCCACTCACCCACTCCTGTCTTCCTGCTCTGGCATTCCCCTACACTGGGGCATCAAACCCCCACAGAACCAAGGGCCAGTCCTCCCACTGATGTCCAACAAGACCATCCTCTGCCACATTATGTGGCTGGAGCCATGGATCCCTCCATGTGTACTCTACCAAAGAACATTTAATCAAAGAGGCCACTTCTGTTAACACGTTACCACCTATATTTTGAGAATTCCTCTGTGCAGTTACACATCTAATTTCTGTGTAATCACATGGTATACATAATACTCCAAGCTGGTATCATTCTACTTTTAATTTTGATAATATTTCCCCACAGTAGTTTATTTATAGTATTACTTCCTGTGAAAGCATAAAGGATGAGCACACATATACACAAGGAAGACACATAAATCACATCTAAAGTTGTAAGTTTAGGGATAAACACTCTTTTACTGTAGAGTAGATTTTTTTTTATGATTACTGTCTTAACTTCTTTTAATTTTAGATTTATTTTTATTTTGACTTGTGTGTTTGTGTGGCTGTGCATATGCATTTGTACGTGCATGTGTGTGTGCGTGTGCGTGCGCTCGCGAATGTGTGTGGAGTACCCCAAGAGACAGGAAGAGGACGTAAGATCCTCTGGAGCTGGATTGATTTAAAAGCAGTCGTAGGGCACCCGAGGACTTGGTTCTCTAGAAAAGCAGCAAGCAGTTTTAACCACTAAGCCATCCCTCTACTCTTTACTACCTTAAAATATTTACTTCATTTCTTATTGAAGCCACAAACATTGAGAAGTGTTTTGTTTCCTTACCATATTGAAACAATGTAGACAGCGACCTATGCTCCTGTTGGGATACAAGTGCAAAGCTAGTTGGGTTGCCCCTTTGAGAGTAACTTATTTGGGGAACGTGTTAATTACTACTGGGTTAAGAAGAATGGACTTCTGTAAGGATTATTGTGTCTTCTGAAGTCAAACATCTAGTAGAATTATGAGCACATTTATATATGAATTTATTTAAGTAATGCTTAGAATATCATGTATGGAATGCATTAATTTAGTAACGTATTTTTAGATTTGTTTCTTTTTATTTTTTGTATATGAGTGTATTACTTGCATAAATATATATATACCATGTGTACACCTGGTACCTATAGAGGTTAGAAAAAAGACATAGGATCCCCTAAAACTGGAATTACTTATGGCCTCCATGTGGGTGTTGGGTACTGAAAACTGAACCCAGGTTCTCTGTAAGAATACCTAGTGTACTCTTAACCACTTAGCCATCTTTCCTGCCTCTCCTTAGTAACATTTAAGAATAGACATGAGGACTCAAGAATTTCTCTTGATCTTAAAAACTGTTCAGTGGAAGAAAAATAAGCCCGAAATTCTTCATCTCTAGGAGTCATATTGTGAATATCGTAATCATCTGCAATCCTACCAAGAGGCAGAGAATAGCTAAGCTCTGTTAGGCAAAGAAGGATCTGGCCCTCTATAGCTGTTCTGTATACAGTATTAAATCTTGTCTCCTTGTTTATATGCCTACAGATTATAAGTGCAGATTAGAAGCTGCAGAGGACAAAGGCACAGAATAAAACAGAAGTCATTTCAAGTGCTTAACTGTTTGGAAGTATTTTAGGGCTTGGTGAGCACTTCATACTTTAGCTATGACTCAGTGTTTTAATGTATTACAGCAAGACATAAGACAGGTGATTCCAAACATGACCTGGGTTTATCAAAGTTAAGTTACATTGCATGTTTTCCAGGATTTAGACAGCATTCAAAGCATTTTGGAAGGATTTTGATGCGAACAGAATACTTTTTTCCTTTTTTTTTTTATCTATTCATCGAGAACTTCATGCATGTATACAATGTATTTTGTTTATATTCAGACACTCCACAAGCTATACCTAGAGATCCCTCTCCCAACTTCATATCCTTCTTTTTGTCTTTTTTTTTCTGAGTCTAATTGTGCTGACCCTGTATACATGGCTGGAGCACATTCCACCTAGCAGGGGCCTCATCTATAGAGAATATTGACTCTTCCTCTACTAGTAGGCACAAGTAGCTCCTCAGCTAAAGGTAGATGTGGTTCCTGAGTGTTGGTAGAAGGCAGTGTGATCCAGATGTCCCATTTACAGCTGATCCCTCCACAGATTTGTTCTCTGTGCTTTGATCAGTATGAGTTTCCATATGAACCACTGTCTCCTTCACAAAGATACATTGCTAACACGGGCTGAGAGCGGTGCTCCCCAACGGGTATAGAAGCACATATTTAGAAGGTAGCTTGATACTCTATCCATTTATCAGGTTGTCCTCTAGAGTCCAAGAGTTCCCCAGCCTAATGCAAAATTTTATGGCAATATCATTGGTACCTTTTGTGAGTAAACCCTTAGCTTTCCAGAAAACACCAGCCATAGCTATATACTTGGTCTCCAGAGTTCCCTTATGGCATGGTCTTAGTGCAATATTTCTTTGTAGCTCTCAGTTTCTAGCCAGTAAGCTCAGACTTCCTGTGTATTTGAGAGAAGAAGATAAAGGATTTTTCAGCCCTAAGATGACTTTAGTCCAGCGTTTTCTCTTGTGTTTCCAGGAACATTTAGTTAGCAACATTAGTTGTGGATTTTGGCATGAACAATTTTTTCTCATTCTTCTGCCCATCACAAGGTGCTAAGACAGTTTCCCTTGGTGGCAACCAGAGGCTGGATTTGGTTTCTTATCACCTCACCCACGATTCTCGGGCAAACTACTTCAACTGGGTGTTTTTCACATTTACATAAAACCTCCTTCTACATTGTTCTCATCCAACCGTATAAACATAGGTGAGCATTGACTCATTAGGGAGTTCCCATAGAGGGTATCCTGTCTACTGTGTGTTCAGCCCATGCCACAGTGTTTAGCTGTATGAGCCACTGCTGACCTCACAGAGAGAGAGAGAGAGAGATACTTTAGAATGCAGCTCTGTCACAGGTCATGCAGTCAAATGCCAGGGATGGTCTTTTTTTCAAAGAACTAGATAATGCCCATTTTATGACCATTAGTAACATTTTCTTTATATAAAGCGAGGTAAGAGTAATAAAAAATAAATTCTGCTTTATAGTATAATTTGATTGCCAATCGAGTTTGGAAATGAACTCCCTCACTGTGCATGTGCTGCTGTGTAGTGGAAGGCTAACCATCCAGCAGCCCTCTCCCCAACCTTCATTTCTCCTTTATGGAGAACGTGTAGTTCATCCAGAGCCCTAAGCTATTCCAGGGAGGCAGATCCTTTGCTCTCCCCTTTAAAACAGTTTGATTGCGCCTCTGGTAGTTAATGTGCCAAATGGTCTTCTGGACGTTTCATACATGTGTTCTGCAGCTAATTAGAATGCCCGGGCCTACTGTTTCCTACCTCTGTTGCTCTCCATGTGTTTAAGAGCTCAGTTCAAACACCAGGCCCATGCCCTCTGGAAAGGCATGCAAAGCTCTCCTCTGATTTGGGCATCTGTTGCAGACAGGTTTTCCAAAGGATATCCTGTAGGAGATAAACCATTTCATTAGGCCAGGTTCCCTTTCCAAACTGGGGAAATAGAGGGCCTGCTGTGAAGGAAAACCGAGATAATGCTATTGCGGCTGTAAGCAGAGCACTTATAAATGTTGTCCGCATCTTTTCCACCGGTTCCATCCAGATTGTGTCCACTGACAGGTTAATGACGTGTTTTAGAGCTCTGTTTATAGAGAGCGGTAGGGCAGCTGTGATGTGAGTCCTTTACGTATTCCAATGACCCCTCCTCCTATGTCTCCTGCAGTTGATAACTCCTCATGCCATCCGTGTTCAGACACCTCCTCGGCACATCCCCGGTGTGGTGGAAGTCACCTTGTCCTACAAATCCAAGCAGTTCTGCAAAGGGACACCAGGCCGATTCATCTACACGGGTAAGCCTGCCTGCAGATAGTGACCACAGAGCTCTGCTGACTTCATGAGATGTTTAACTTGATCTTGTGTGTGTGTGTTTAATCTTGCTTCTGTTAAGACTGATTTTCTCCATTTCAAGAAACACGGGGACCGAAGAAATTGCTTTGCTTATTGTTACTAAAAGCTTGTGGGGATGTAATAGTTTTGTGTGTTGAAATAATTGGTTGCCTACTTAGAGGAATAGAGAGCAGGGCAATGTGAGACAGGACCAAGGTCTCTCTCTAGTAGATTGGCCAGCTTGTTGGTGTTTGCTTTATGGAGCAGGGTTGAACTTTGACGAACAGTACTGCTTTCTTCTAGCCTGCCACAGCATTTGAATTAAACACATTTGGTAGTTTTCATAGTTTATTCAGGGTCGATGCTTTCTGCCCCAGTAAGCTGCATTTTGTCTGCCCCCCTTCCCCAACAGCATTGGCACATGGCCTTGTGGTAAGCAGCTAGGGTTACAGGGTGCATCTGTAATCCCTTCTACCAGGCATAGCCAATCAGGCAGGACCTGGGCTGGCAGGATGTGGAAATATATATAATAGGCAAAGCAAACATCCAGGGATCTTGTCGAATTCAGCATCTGCTATGGAAGGGGTGGACAGACTCTTTGTTTCTTATATGCTCAAAGGTGAAGAGTAGGATGATATCATGGACTACAGGAGGTGTGGTAAATTTGAGGGCCCTTGGCTTCACATCCACTGGCTAGCTACATCCATGAGCCAGTCACAGATTTTCCATTTATTATTGAGGGTCCACCAGGCCTCTCCATGTAGACGGGAAGTTGGTTTCACACAAAGGGGTCTGGAGTACAGAAGAAGTGGTTGTCTTAGCACATTCTAATTAAAACACATAATCCAATGGGCAGGTTTCATTTTTTTTTTTTTTGCTTTAACATTCTACCTCAAAGACTTTTCCCTACAATTTTATACTATGAAGCAAACCAAGCATGCTTTATAGTCACCTTGTCTCTGTCTCTCACGACTACAACCCACCACCAACAGAGACAGACAGACAGACAAACAAACAAACAAACATAAAAACCAAGTTAATATATTTTGACCCTCGGAAATGCCTCCCAGCCCTTTAAACAAAATACAAGGTTGCTGCCTGCCTGCCGATTAGTTTTAGTTAATTGAAAATTATAGGATTGACCCAAGAGGAAAATTTTGTTTGCACTCCAATCACTTTTACAAATTAAGGAAAATTACCACAATTTTGTTTAGCTCAGGTTTCACACTGAGTTCACGAAATTAGCTCAGCCATCCCAACAAAGTCAGCACTTTGTTAGCGAGCGCTTAAAAAAAAAAGTCTATCTGGAGTTTTGTGGTGTATACAAACGAAGCATAGAGAAAGCTATGATGCTTTATAGAAGTGGGCCAAGTGTTTTTAATTAGGCTCATTGGTTCAGCATAAGTTTTGAAGAACAATCAAAATAGCGGATTAGCTGTTTCTTTTAAATCTAGGGTTTCTAGTCATTCATTTTTCCCATGAGAACTTCCAGATAGCACTGTAAGATTCTTTTCTTTTTTCTTTTCTTTCTATTTTTTTTAAACAAGCCTCATTATGGGCTCACAGGAAAAGGACCAATTGAAATTTCTGATACTGTAACATTCCCCACCGTCATTCCAAGGAGATGGGAGCTTTGCACAGTGTCCCTTGCTGGACTCGCTGTTCTGGAACATATTACAAAACCACAGAGGCCAAATGTTTTCTCTGAGGAGTTTGGACTCTGTTTTGGGCCAAAAACATTTAGGCCTCGCTGGTTGCTTATTTACTCTGCTATTAAGAACAAGAAAGAGAAAAGAAGAAGAGAAGACGGAAAAGAAAATGTTCATGGGGTGGGAGGCACCAGAAGCAGTCAGCCATGGCTTCCGCTTTGGTGACAATGTCCTTGCTCATTGATGACTCCCTTTTGTGGTCAAGTCTCATTTAGAAGAAATTATTGTTAATCAGTGTTCAGTAAAATATACCCTAGAGCCACCTGGTCATAAAATTTTTTTTAAATCAGTACCATTATATAAATTCTCAAACAAAACAAAGCACCCCCTCCCCTGCAAAAAAAACAAAAACAAAAAAACAAAACAAAAACAAACAAACAAACAAACAAAACAAAACCAACCCTAGGGATTGACTGACCCAACATTATTTGAGTTTTTTTTAAACCATTTAAAAATTGCTACCAATTTAAGAAATCACATCTTGGGAAAGCTGTATTAGACTAGAATTAAGATGAAAGATAAAAGCAGCAGATCTGCAAGCTAAGTGAAGGAATTCTGGAGGAATATGTGTTGATTTGTGAAAATCTAAAGAAGAGACGAAAGAATTCATGCCTTCAACTGTAGGCCACTGACAAGAAGATGCCAGTCATAATGTATCCAAGGAAGAAATCTAGCCTCTTCTTGTGTTAGAAAAATAAGGAAAGAAATGAGGACAAAGATTCCTTGGCTATTCATAGTTACAGTGGAGTCACGTGGTTTTAACTAGGAAACTTCTGAGTCTTATGATCACTGGCATGTGGCTGTCCTTGTGATGGGTCCTTAGTCATGGCTAGCTTCCTAGCTCCTGGAGCTTACTCAGTTTATCTTTCTGCTTGTCACTCTTTACAAGTGGAGGCATAGAGAAGGGGGTCTCTGCGCCTGTATGTTCTTTGTATCCAAATAACGCCTTAGGTCATTGAGTTCATGCAGGCCCCTCTCCTGCCCACTGCCAGAAGTTCACACTTCATCTTTAACATCCATACTACTTCAAGATGTGAGGCTTGCCTTTCTGGATTGGCATATGAATCTCGTTTCTTAATGGAATGTCACTGGAAATTTTCCCTTAAAAAGAAACTAGAAAACATCACAGAACTGAAGAATAACATCCTAATTAAGGCACTCCCTCTGTTTTTAGAGTGTTTAGGAGAGAGTTTGGACATAGGAATGTGAAAGGCTCTAAAAATCTACTTTAAGCAAAACCAGAAAAATAAAACCATAAAGGAACACCCTGGTCTAGTCAATGCAAATAAAAACCTACCTCTGAAAAAATAATAAAATAAAAAAACCCACTTTTTGGAGGAAGTAGTCCAACTAAACACAGATTGAAGGCTGACCCCAATCTCTTAAGAATGCCGGATGCAACTCCTCATTGCTGGTCCTCAGTCTCAAGTGATCCTATTCACTAGATATGTAATGTTCTTGCCTTTGCCCAATCAGAGTCATGGAAAAGAGCGAGTCCTGACTTGAACAGCACATAGAAGCCCCAGCAGCACTGGGCAGATCAAACTTTATTCTGTTTCCTTATTCTTTTGCAAATGTGAGGGCAGGGCTGACCTTACATTTCACATGTTTCCAAATGAAAGAAATTAAAACCCCATCTCATCACAGGATGGTTTTCAGAGTCCTGTGATCTTGTATCTGGTCAGTCAGTCCAGGTAGACCAAGTACAGGATCACAGGACTCACCAGATTTCACTGACTATAGGGTCTCCACAATGTATTCATGCACCCCTTTGTATGTTTTGTTTTTACTGCTATTCAGTCTCTAAATGAGCTGCTTCCTTTCTGAGCATGACCGTTCCTGCTAAGGCCCCCATGAACTTGGATGCTAAGAAAAGTTCCTTAGGAGCTGTTCAGCTGTTTCTTTAAAATTCTTAGAAGTGGGTTTTCTAATAACAAGGGGGGCACATCTGAAGTTAGCGCTTTGCTTTCGTTCAGGTAATTTCTTCACGAGAAACAGTTCCCTACCCAGGGAAAAATCAACAAATAAGAAAATAAAAATTAAAATAAAAAAGGACCACGGGATGATATACACCCAACTTTATTATCAGAGCTGTACTTAAAGTCATATCCCTTTCCCACAAGTTGGGGAGAGCCCTGATGGGTGATCAACTGACAGCTCAACTGATTGGCTGGTTGAGCAACCTATCAGATCATTTCTACCAACTGCTATCCCATTCTCAGCGTGTTCACCTGACTGTGGCCCCTGTAAGAGCCAATCCAAATAGCATACTAACTGGGGACTGAAACTGCTTCCTAAACTACTTCCTGTTTGTACTTCTCCCTGGTGATGCAAAGCATGTTGTTTTGCCCGAAGTATGGGCCTTTCGGGAAAATAAGTTCTACAGCTCTCAATGACTCTTAATTTCCTTTTTATTTTTCTCTTCTGATCATATTTGTTTTAACCCTTCTCTCTCTCTCCCTCCCTCCCTCCTCCCTTTCTCTATTTCCTTTTAATTGCCAGTAATACAGAGCTGCATAGGGATTGGGTACTTCCATTTAAGGTAATGGATATAAATTGAGCTCGCAGCTTTGCCATTTCCTGGAGAAGCTATCCCTATGACTCTGAGCCACAGTCACCTCACTTTTTACAAGAAGGAAAGCATAACTTGCTGGTGTTGTTTTTGGAATCAGAGAAACGTGTAACATCTACAAAGAAGCCAGGTTCTAGTGTTGGCATTAAACTGTGGCTATTGTCTTTAGTCATACATTCTTTTAAAAAAAATCGTTATTTTCTGAGTATGAGAGTTTTGTCACCATGTTTATATGTGCATCATGTGTATTCCCAGTGCCAGTGGAGTACAGCTAAGGACATCAGATCTTCTGGAACTGGACTTACAGATAGTTGCAAGCGGCCATATGGGTGTTAGGAGCTAAACCTGGGTCTTCTGCAAGAGCACAAAATCTCTGAACTCTGAGCAGTTGCTGAAGCCCCACCCATTCAGTTTTGAGTTCCCTTTCTAGAGCAAACATTTCACACCTTGTTTACCATCATCCTCATCTCCCCAGCAATCTAAGGTTTGCCTTTAAAGGGTTTTCAGTAACAGAATCATAGGCACCAGAATGTTGAAGCAACAGCATATGAAAAAGGCAATGTATAGATAATTATGAAAACAAGAAATGGATTTTTAAATAATTATTTTACTTTCTGTGGTCACAACAAAATAACCTAGACTGAATGCTTATGAAGAAAGTAGGACTATTTAACTCACAGTT